GTCTCTAGGGGTGGTGGCGACCAGCAGGCGCAGGTGGGTCCAGTCCTGGATTTTTCACGTGCCAACTTTGGTGATTTTCGCCCTCAGAAAAATTAAGAAAAAAATCTGAAAAATTGAGATCCTTTAGATTAGGTCATGATCTTTCCAGGGAAAATATCAGAAAAATGAGAAAAAAAAAAATTTAGCCCATGAAATAAATGCTGCGCCAATTCGTCACGTTTTCCAGTTTTGCCACTCTACAACTTTGTGGGCCAGTGGGAAGAGTACCCCAATTTCAGTGACTTTTCATGCTCAGAAGAATATGTACAAAAATCTGGAAATTGGAGGGCCGGTAGATTTGGTTGTGATCTTTGCAGGAAAAATATTACAAAAAAAAAAAAAAAAACTGTTTCAACCACGAAATAGGTTGTGGCAGCAATTCGACACATTTTCCATTGTCGCCGCTGTGTGGGTTCTCCACACTATGCTACCGGTAGCCACATGAACCTGTGCAACCGGTCCCCCGACTCTCCAACGTCGGGTAGAGTGGTGGTCTAAGGAAGGTCTGAAATTTCCCGTTTTTGCCGCATCATCACAAGCAACGTTGTCGAAAACTTTCTGAACAGATGATATGGGCTCGTAGACTTGTAGTACAAACATTAAAAAATCACCACAAGCAACGTTGTCGAAAACTTTCTGAAGAGACGATATGGGCTCGTAGAAGTACAACATTAAAAAAAAACTAACAGGCAAAGAAAAACGAACTGAAACAGGGTTGTGCCGGCCACCGACCAGTTAGACCGGACCGGATCCAACCGGGGCGGTTGGACCCACAGTCGTCCAACCGGAATTCCGGTCGAGTCCAAAACTGGGTCATTTTTTTATTTTTATTTTTTTGAAAACATGGTTGGACTGCGCTCGCCAAGATCTCCCCAAATCCGGAAAGAAAACTTTGAACGGAGAACTTTTTTTTTTGGGGGGGGGAAGGGGGGGTATTTTCAGGGCTTGGGGGTTGGGGGTTGGGGGGTTATGGTGGTGGGGGTGTTAATGATGGGGTTTGAGCAAGCATGGGCTTCGACAGACATTGACAACGATGTACCTCTCTCTCTCTCTCTCTCTCTCTCTCTCTCTCTCTCTCTGTGACACTCTCTCTCTCTCTCTCTCCAACTGACTACCCAAGCAACTGCCGCGCGCCCTATCACCACACGCACCCTACCACCTCTCTCTCTCTCTCTCTCTCTCTCCAAATAACTATCAAAGAAACTGTCGTGCGCACACCAACTACCGCACTGCCACAATGACCGCGCGTGCGTGCCCTACCGCCGTGCCCTACCACTACGCCCTACCATGTGTGCCCTACCACCTCTCTCTCTCTCTCTCTCTCTCTCTCTCTCACGCGCGCGCCTTTGCTTCCACGGCCCCAGCCTCGAATGAATCTTGCCACGTTAGTGTGAAAGATTCATTCGAGTCGAGCTCTCTCTCTCTCTCTCTCTCTCTCTCTCTCTCTCTCTCTCTCTCTCTCTCTCTCTCTCCCCCTCCTCTCTCTCTCTTTGTCTCTCTGCTCTCTCTCTCTCTCTCTCTCTCTCTCTCTCTCTCTCTCTCTCTCTCTCTCTCTCTCTCTCTCCCGGGTGTATACACCTGTCTCTTATACACATCTAGATGTGTATAAGAGACAGCTCTCTCTCTCTCTCTCTCTCTCTCCCCACCTACCCAAGCAAGTGCCGCACACCCGCAAAATGCTGCATGCCCACCAACGACCGCACGCGCGTTGGTAGGCGCACTAACTACCACTGGAGTAAGCACAAGAAGAAGAAGAAGAAGAAGAAGACGAAGAAGAAACTACTAGCTTACCGGTGGCTGTTAGGGATGGTGGCGACGACGACTTCGGGCTCGACGGGCTGTAGGAGCAACGGGCTGGAGGCGTGACGGGCTGGAGGCGGTGGGGAGGGCATGCCAGCAGTTCCGAGTGTCGAAGGTCGATTGGAAGGGAACGGGTGCCAGGTTTGGGTCAGGAGGAGGACTGAGGACGGGGAGGGAAGAGGCAGGCCGATGGGAGGGGTAGGGCCAGTACTCACCCAGAACTTTTGAAAACATTGGCCTATCTGGGCTGCCGACCTCTCCAGATCGACGGTCCAGATAGGCCGCCCTTTTCAAATCCTTTGGGCGGGCCTACCGGACCCGGTGTGGACTTTTTCAGGCCAGGCAACCTCCATGCAGGCCGCGGAGGCCCCATGGCCCGAAAAGAAATCGAACCGACCCCCATACTTCAATGCGCTACGGCCCACCGGGGGGGAGCCGGCCCGGTGGACCGGCTGGTAGGACCGGCCTGGTTCCGGTCGGGGGTTGGGGCCCCGCTCCTACCGGGTTTTCAGCCTTGAACTGAAAGGATTTCATTCTGTTTCCATGTGCCAAGCCCTGGTCCCCAGAGTCCTGAGTCCCGCTCCCAGACTCCTCGCTCGAGAGTCCCACCTGAGCCCAGTCCCAGATGGTCCCGGTAGGTCCTGGTAGACGGTCCTAGGAGTTTGGAAGGGCCTAGAGGCCGGAGTGTTGTCGGTCCGCAGGGTCCGGTAGTTAGGTTGTTAGAAGTCGTAGGCCCGGTACCCGACAAGAAAAAGTCTGAAGTCCCAAAGTTCAATTTTGCAGCAACATCCAGGGAAAGTCCGGTAGGTCCCGGAACTGGCAAACTGCAGCCGACAAGCCACATCGGGCGGTACTCGTCTGCAGCCGACGACAATTCACTTCAGCTGGTTATGGTTGCTACATCGCTTCATCAGGTCGTTCGTCAATTCACATGTTGCCGGAACCTCTGCTGTAGCGCTTGGGGTGAACAACGGGTTGGAAGTCCAGTTGACGACGGTGGCCAAGCCGCGAGGTTGAGGGTGAAGACAGTAGGCTTAAGGGTGACGACAAAGTAGGCTTAGGCGAGTGTATTTTGGAAGTGAGTGTGAGCGATCCAATTCTGAGGGAGAGCGCGAGAGAGAAGAGAGAGAGAGAGCGTGGAAGTGAGAGTAAGTGCTTGAAGTATTGAGAGGCATCAGAGAGAGACAGAGAGAGGACCTGTTCGGTTTGTTTGCGATGGTGGCCATAAACAGCTTGTAATTGAATTATTGAACTCAATTTTTGTATAATATTGAAATGACTGGGGTTGGGTTTCATCTTTGAATTGCTGATTTGCTGTTTCGATGCATGGCATGATTCTTCGGTGAAGTGTGTTTGATGGTTGTCTGCAGTTTGGTTTCATTGCAGAACAGAAAACCACATATTTGAGAAAAAGGAATACACCACGTACCTTAGAACATATACATCATACTTGCGGCGCATCACGTGCATGCAAGTTGCGCACTTGCGCCACAGCACATGCACACACGTGATGCGGCGCATTTACAAAAAAAAAATCAGAAAGGGTAGGCCGGGATACCGATAAGTGTCCCTCCCTTTTAAAAATTGTAAGTGCACAGAAAGAGAATATTTTGAGGCCTCTTTGTGCTACTTGTTGGTAATATTCTCCTTTCCAAAGGGTCCTCTGCGGAGAATCAGCACGGATCCCATTCATTTGGACGGGCGTTCCTTGCACTGGCGGAAGAACACGAGCAGGCCAGCAATATATTCTGGATTCGGATTCAGGTCTGTGTTCCAAGAGTTATGGGTTACAAACTTACTACAAACACTACAGTAGCTGTCTCGTTTTTTTTTGGTTTTTGCTTTTCTTACATGCAGTCGCCCTAAGGGCCTCGCTCCACTCATCAGCACGTGCACAAAAGAAAAACATATGGCTTGTGTGGTTCCAGTTTCTAGGAGAAGATTCATTCTAGGTTTGCACATATAGTACCTGTCTCATTTGTTTTGTTTTTCCTTTTCTTACGTGCAGTGGCCCTAAGGGCCTCGCTCCACTCATCAGTACTTGCAGAATAGAAAAACATATGGCTTGTATGGTTCCAGTTGCTAGGAGAAGATTCATTCTAGTTTTGCGCATTTGGTGAGCAGTGGAGTGAAGCCCTGAAAATCATATGCCGAGTTAGTAAGTCAGTAACCCATAACTGCTGAAACACGGACCTGAATTCGAAGCTACACCATATATAGCTGGCCTGCTCCCTCCTTACTACAAGTCCAGTGACGACCCGTCCATTGACCACCCTTCTCCTGCCGACGGGACCCTTGCCAATTCTTGGCAGGGACCTTTTGAAGTACAGGCAGGGGTTGTCTGAATAATGTGAAAGGGCTGTGCTCTCTCTCTCTCTCTCTCTCTCTCTCTCTCTCTCTCTCTCTCTCCAGCGTGTATACACACACACGGTTGCTTCTTCTTTTTTGTTTTGTTTTTTTTTTGTTTGTTTTTTGTGCGCGTGCGCACGCATCTGCGATTAGCGCACCGCGCGCCGCGCAGCGCACTTGTTTTTTTGTGTGAGTGCGCACGCATCTGCGATTAGCGCACCTCGTGCCGCACAGCACACTTCATCTACACGCCGCAAGTATGATATACATATCACAAAAAGAAATCAGGAGAAGCGCAAAAAATATAGCTGATGTGACAGTTTCAACGAAAAATTTGCCAAAAAAAAAACACCCCGTGTTAACGACGCGTTCCACTAGCTGCTGCTAACCTAACTCACCATTAACTTCTCCTCCCCCTCCCCTGCCCCCTTAAAATTTCCCAAACTTCAGACTATCCACCGCACTCCCTTACTCGACTAACATAGGTAAACAGTCGCATGTGTGGCCAAACTTCATCCCCTTTTGCAGTGCTTCCAAGGCGGCCTTGATGTGGTCCTTGTCAACATCCCCTTGGATAAACCCCGTCGTGCCTCCTGGTTGTTTCCGCCGGGCCAGCAGCAATTTGCATGTTCTCGATCAGATCTAAATTTTCAGTTTGGGTGGCTGGTTGGGAGATGGACATTGAAGTGCACCATTATAATTGTGAGAAAACTGTAAAAAGAAGACTGATTGGATTCTTTTTTTTGAGGAGGGGACTGATTGGATTCTTATTGAGAATTGCTTTCCTTTGGGTCTTATCTGTTTGTCCGCAGAAATGCGAGGAGGAGTGTCTCCGTGACGAATCTGATATCGATAGCAGGATGAAGCTGGCATGGTCTCTTGTCCATTCACAGCAGGTACCTGATGTGCATAGAGGGATCGCCATGCTTGAAGGTGAGGTGGGGTGCGGTGCATGTTGTTCAATTGTGCGTTGTTTGAATGTGTGTTGTTTGATTGAACGCACAATAGACAGAATCCCCTTAAAACTATCGGTTGTCAAAAAAAATGATAAGAGCTCTTTTGGAAAGTTGATTTGAAGCGTCCCTCGGGAGCTCCGTTAGAATTTGCAGCGATTCAGGGAAGATTAGCGTGGCCCCTGCAAAAGGATGACATGCACAAATTGAGAAATGGTCCCCAAAAAAAACTGTAAGGTCCAAAAAAAAAAAAAAAAAAAAAAAACTGTAAGGTAATTTACTAATTTAAATGTTAACAGCTGGCATCGCTGCATTTTGCGGGCCCAAAAAGAATGTTACTGATCGTCACAGATTGTTGAACTGCGGATGTGGTATCGTTAGTTTCACCATAGTCCCAGGCAATGCGGTTTAGTTTGTAGTCAACAAGCTAGCCGTATGCTCATCTAAGAAGACTGAAATGGGAAAAGGGGAAAAAAAGACAGAACTCATGAAAACGGTGTAAGGTTTTCTGACTCTGTGTTTTTTTATTTTATTTTATTAAAACAGGTCCTTGTGGTCCTGGTCCTCGTTCATCCTGGGAAGCATTTCGTTTCCATCCACCAGCAATGTAACATGAACCATATGCCCCGTTTGATTTATGCGTGTCATCATTGCGCAGGGGCCATGCTCATTCCAATTTTCATGAATGTCCTTCTTTTCGATTGTGCGGAAGGAACCCTAACCAGCATCAATTGTACCCTTGCAGGTGGATTCACTGTCAGAGTGTTCTTCGTATTGATTTCCTATCAGGCTCAGCCACCTTGGGACTGTCATGTAGTTGTTTCTATAGCCAAGATCTTTGAAGGGGCCAGGACCTGGCGGCATAGTGGATTGCTAGCTATACTGGGCCTGTCGTAACGCACAACATAAAAATGATTTAGCTATGAACTCATTGAAAAACCTCATCTTTTTTTTTTTTTTTTTTTTAAATGCAAGCTTGTCTTCTCCTCAAATGGGGGACAACCGCATTCTTTTCCTATGCTATTATCTTCTCTCATTACTGTACCTTGCACTACCTACCCTGGGCAAGCAAGGGACCATCCACCTCCGAGACAAGTGCGGAACTTAATTTACCCTAAGACAGGTAACCACCTGGAACCCGATACCAACTAGGTCCAAGGTCTAGGGCCTGGAGAGGACCAGGAGAATAGAGGGAACAAGGTCCTTAAATTTACGCGCTATGACTATACTATCCTAAGATAATGGGATATCCCACCTCTGCTCTGTGCGGGGAAGCAGCACCCATGCTTCGAACACCTGGCGCGGGCTGGACACCAGCCAACCAGGAGGGACGACCTGACTTTTCCAGCTGGTGAACCCACAGCTTGCCGCAGGAGGACGTGGGGATTTGAAAACAATGCATGGGGAATCGAATCCACGACCTCCTGAATGCACCTTTCGTGCTCTGCCAACTGAGCTGGGGCGCTGACCCTCTTGGAAACCTTCTCTTATATATCTTAAAAGAAGCGGTCCTCCCGTGATGCTCCCCCTCGGGCCCAGGAAAAAACCGGGTGTGGAGTTCTGTGCTCGGTACCACGGGGGATAGAGGAGGAAACGGGAGGTGCCAAACAGGGTTTGCACAGTGATAGCGTCCGGGGCCTTGCCAGCAACAATGGGCTCTGCTCAACTACTCTCCTAATGTGCAAAATGAACCTGAATCCTCCGACAGTACATGGAAAGATATGTTGCCAGGCCGCACGCAATCGGAAAGTCGTTGTGCAACCACATGGAAAGATATGTTTCCATGTTCTAGCGGAGGTTTCAGGGTCATTTTGCACATTTGGAGAGTAGTTAAGCCAGGGCCGTTGGTAAGGTCCCGGTTGTTGCTGCGAGGCAATATTCATTTTTTTTTTTTTGGGGGGGGTTCTTGGTCTGGCTGCATTGTGGGGTCTGGCCGCGGCCACGATGCTGATCTTGAGGGCTTGCTGCAATACTCCCCATATGCACAAAAGACAAAAGTGTTGCTGTGTCGTTCCATCTTCTCACGTGAGATTCATTTCTCTTTTTTTTTGTGGGTTTGCCTGTGTTTTTTCTTTTTTGGGTTGGGAGTTTCACACAGGCTTAGTATGGCAATGTATCTTTCCATGTTCTAGTGGAGGATTCGGTCTTCTTAGTCTACAGGGCACAAAAGACGAAACTTGCAGCGGTGTATCTTTCCATATTCTGATCCAAGATTCATTTGCTTTTTCTTGGGGGGGGGTTCTTGGTCTGGCTGTGACCACGATGCTGATCTTGAGGGCCTTGCTGCGCTACTCACTATACACACAAAAGACGAGGTGTTGCTCTATCTTTCGATGTTCTCGAGCGGAATTCATTTTCTCTTGTTTTTTTTTCTGGGTTTGCCCTTTTTTTTTTTCTTTTTTTTTTGGGTGAGGACTTTCACGCAGGCGTAACACATGGGGTCCACTTGTATCAAATAACAGTTGTTTGTCAAATAAAACAATAGCACTTCGTGCCTGGTAATACTTTAGAAGGGCTTGTACAATAGCATTTCATGCCTAGTGTACTTTAGAACAGGGCTGCTCCCCGGAGCACTTCGTGCCTAGTAATACTTTAGAAGGGATTGTACAATAGCACTTCATGCCTAGTGTACTTTAGAACAGGGCTGGTTCTCGGATGGATTGGGACCCTTCCTGTTGACACTTTTTCCAATCAGACCACTCTCAGCGATCAGAAAGCCAACAAGCTGTCATGCAGGATTTTGTTTATATTTTTTTGCAATAAACAATTGAATAATTATTGCAAATCCTTTCCTGTTGTGTGTGTTCGGCTTCGAGCAAGACCCTTCAATTGCGGTCTACGTCGGTCCCCGGTCTTAGGAATCTTGAATTGTGATTCGGACCAGTATATGCAATTAAATAAATTAAAATAAACTTTAATAAAGTGCATAGTACATCATAATTATCAATTTAGGAATTTGAAAATTGTGACATGACCAGCAAAGAGCATATCTTCAAACAATGTCAATGAAACGAGATCAAGACCGACTTGACTCGAGGCAAAGACGAGATGAATGAGGGAAAGTGAGAACTCATAATAAGGCACTCGCCAATAGTCCTCACTCTCCCTCCTAAGGTCGCATCCTCGATCTCTTATTTGATCGTGCGTTTCTTGTTCCTTGAGCCATGTCTTTTTACTTCCTGAGATTGTGGTTTAGTAATATAGAGCCATCTAAAGCCCTTGAGTACCGAATAGGTCCATCCAAGGCCAAAGATTCGAAAGTCAAGCATAGCACAAAACTCCTCCCATAAAGTAGGAAGAAATGGTCTGGGGAAGATCTCTCGTCGAAGATGTCAAAACTCTAATGGCCTAGTCACTGACTCATAATCAATCTCTGCTGACGAAACATACCTCTTGATGAGGTCAACCAATTCACTCCAATAAGAACCATCGGTGAGGTAGAGAGGGACCTGAAACTTGGGTTGTTAGTGTATAACCTAGGACCAAAGCTATGAATCAATTTTGCACCCTCCCGAAGTATTCGTGCCCTCTCTTGAACATACCAGGCTGTTGTAACCTAAACTGAGTTAAAATGCTCATGAATGTCCTTCCCTCTTCACATAGATCCTCATATCTTGGATAGTCCCCTCTGCAAACTCACTGAGGAGCGCGAAGATTGACAAATCCTCTTGTTTGAAACCAACTGCACTAAGGTATCCTTGAGAGCAATCTGATTTAGGTTGGTCAAAACTAACCCACTGACCAAGAAATATTGAATTGTACTCATGTGCCGAGATGAATACCTAAACTAATCTGAATGTCTTTGATGAAAACATTGTCTGATTGATGTCGATCCGTGTGATAATTGGTAATGACTGAATAACAATAGGTCCTGACTGAGGATCACTGATAATGTCTCAAATTACTGGATGTTGCCGAGTAACAGACCATTGAATGCTGACCACTAATAGCAGGATATTGAGAAAACTCTGGGATTACTGGATGATACTTGCTGACTAATTGGTAATGACTGAATAACAATAGGTCCTGACTGAGGATCACTGATAATGTCTCAAATTACTGGATGTTGCCGAGTAACAGACCATTGAATGCTGACCACTAATAGCAGGATACTGAGAAAACTCTGGGATTACTGGATGATACTTGCTGACTGATTCACTGAAGTGCAATTACTTGCTGGTTTCTGGTTGCTTGTAGCCTCTCGTGTTGAGGCTGTATCATAGGTAGTATAGATTCGTAATTTTGTTTGGCTCAGGGCTAACCGGGAGACCTACTTCTAGGGAAGATTCTGAGGGACATATCTGCAAATTCAGGAAAATAAAGGCCCGTACTCACTAACAGTACCTACAACTACCTTAACTGCGAATAGAAGGCTCAGACTACCCCTAGGACGGACAGGCCCTAAGGCCCTATGCCAATAGACGGTCCTATATCCTATAGCCGGGTAGGTAGAGGTAGAGGGGCGGAAAACTGATACGGTACCGGTCGGTCCATTCAGTCCGGTCTAGTGCATGTCGAGGCTAGTGTAGGTTATAGATGGGATGGGCACATCGGTTCAGGGCTTTTTGGCAGTTGGTACTGTGTACATCGCTGTTGTGCAACGCATGAACTGGAGTGGTGACAACTTCAGCATTGGAGGAGACAGACATAGTTGGACCTGCGGAGCGTCCGCCATAGCTGGCACCTGTGCTGTACTCTGACAGCACGCGGGGTTGTACAGAGGTTCGGGTTATTCGAAGTCTGTTGGAGGCGAGAGAAGTGGTGCCCTGCTGGACCCTCCTCCGGAGTAGGGTTACAGGGTGTGTGGCGTTGCAGCCATAGGTGCAGATTCTTCCTCAGAGAGAATCTTGTCAGGAGAGGTGGCGCTGCTGTAGACTTCCAACCGGGATGTCATCCGACACTTCATCATCCTCAGACATTGTGGCGCTGGTCTTCTTCTTCATCCTCTTATTGGCGCTTAGCCTCAGAGGCCTGTTTCAG